ATAAATGCCAAGCAAACACATTAATATTGATAGGAACAATCCAAACCCATCTAATAGGCAAGCTTGAAAATGGAAGGTATTTTTTATCAATAAAAGTTCGAGTAGAGGCAGCCGAAAACTCTCCCAGACCCTATAAAGACAAATACCATCTATCTGCAGTAGACGAAAGGGAACCGAATGAAGGAGGGTCAAAATCCCTTACAATTAAAAGGTCTCTCCCCCGGAGATCTACAAAAAGAACACTGCAAAGATGATAGCTCGAATTTAGCTTTGACATAAATGTGTTTCTCTTCCTCCAGGTTAAAAATTCTCGAGAATTGCATTATAAGAGACAAACCGCTCAAACAGTTATCATCCTAAAAACTTGTAGAAAGAGCATCACCAATTCTTTTTTCACACAACTCTAGCAAGTGAATTCCCAAATTTTTAAGATGATCTACCGCTTTAAGGATGTTAATCCAAGAAGAATATCTAGAAGTGGACACTACATCACCAAGTCCACCTTTGTTTCCATGTATTGTATTTATAATCAAAACCTAGAGACACGTAAGAGTTGATAAAAATCTCTACATCCACTTAAAAGGAAGATAACGATTTAAAGCAGACAAGTTGCTCACTCCCAATCCGCCATAAGATTTGTCGAAAAGAACTTTTTTCCAACTAACCAGAGTAAAGTTCTTTTCATCCATCTCTGTACCCAAGAAAAAATTATTACACAAAGACAACAGACTTAACTTGACAAATTCTTATAGGTTCTTTTAAGCGCGACATAAATAGGTAGGGACCACACCCACCTTAACTTAAGACAACGATTCAGTCTCCCCCTATCGTAAAGTCGTAACTTTTCCAATTAGAAAGTTTAGACATAGCATTTTGCACCACTTCACGCCACGCCTCCAGTCTATGCATATTAGCTCCTATAGGGAGGCCAGGATAAGTAAACAGAGTCTTCATAGTCGTGCAACCTATCTGCTTAGCCACTTTCTCCACCCTAGCATTAGAAACACCATACCAAGTAACTTGCTTTTATGAAGGTTAATCTTTCAATCCAGAAGCAAAGTGAAAACAATAAAGCATTCTAACAATATTACAAATATTGTCATCTATTCACCCACCCAGAAAACCACATCATTCACATAAAACAAAGTAATTAAAGGATCCAAGTCAAGCACAATACCCGAAAAGCTGACAATTAAGAATATCTTGGAAAGCAACATACAAACTCTCAATCACCAGAATAAATAAAAATAGGGAAAAAATGGTCCCTTTGTCTGAGACCTCTATGGAAAGAAAACTCTTCAGAAGTCGAGCCATTAACGAGAATCGAACCTCGTGATGAACGAAGACAAGCACAAATTCACCCCCTCCATTTATCATCAAAACCCATTCTACCAAAAACATTTAGAAAATCCCAACTAATCGAGTCATAAGCTTTTTCTAAATCAACTTTGAAAACCATAACAACTTTCCTCTTTGATTTGCACCAAGCTAACACCTCATACATAATCAAAGGACCATCTAAAATATGTTTTCCTTTGATGAATGTTGATTTCTCCATAGTAATCAAACTATCAATCATCAAAGCCACCCTATTGGCTAAAATCTTACCAATTATCTTATACTGGCACCTGATAATAGGGATGAGCAGTTTGTCCCAAATCCCGATCCCGTTCCGGTACCGTACCAGAACCGGTACTGAACTGTACCGAATTTAAAAATACGGGACGATACTTAGTACTCCAAATACATGAAATTCGGGAATCGGTACCGCCGGTACCGGTACCATTCCCGGTACCTGTACCGGTGATGTTAATTCGGTTCGGTACTCGGGATTGACTTTCGACCAAGTTCGGTTTTTGGGAAATCGGGAAGGGTATGGGTCGGTACCGGTTTCGTCCCACGCTCACCCCTACCCGATAAGACTTATAGGTAGAACATCTTTAACAATCTTCACATCATGCACCTTAGGAATGAAAGTTATGAATGATGGATTACAACAAATCGGAAAATGGATGGAATTAAAAAACTCGTTTAAAGCAGCCAGGGTTGGCAATTATCGACGCAACCTGTAACCCGACACGAAAATAAACGGGTTTGGGTTGAGATTTCTGACCCGCCAACCTGCTAACCCACAAACCATTTATTTCATGGGTTGGGTTGGGTTACTTGTTTGGATTCGTGGGTCAACCCGCCAACCCGATTATATATATTATATTTAAAAAAAATAAAATTGTATTTATGAATTAATATAATATAATCAATATACGATGTTGGAAACCGTTTTTTTAAATATGTTGTTTATTAACTTATTATGTTAGATTTGTATTTGGTTGTTCATTTCATTATAGTCAATGTAAAATGCTAATTATTAATTAATATATAGACTTGTATAATTCGTATAAATTTAACATGTGAAAAGTTACACGAAAATGACTTCGACTCTTTGACCCAAAATCGACTTACTGACCTGTGAACCCATAATTAAACGAGTTTTGTGGGTTGGGTCAGGTTAATGTTTCCAACATGCCAACTCATCTATTATATGGGTTGGGTTGGGTCAATGTATTCTGACCCACCAACCTCTCAACCCGCGTGATCCGTCAACCCGAACTTAACCCAATTGCCACGCATAGCAGCCACCACATGCAAATACCAAAATTTTCAGGAGTAACTGGGATATCCAACATCTCTAACTGCTGAATGGAAAGGGTCTTCTCAAAGACCTGGGAGATAGAAGGTCGAGAAGGAGGTAGAGATGCAAACTGAGACTAAAAATGATAATAAAATTAAATAAAATTTAAAAAAAAAAAAAAAAAAAAAAAAAAAAAAAAAAACCCAACTCCTAGAATAGCCAGCTACTTGCGTTTTTCTATTTAGAACTCCATGGAAAAGATTGGAGTTCTCGTCACCCTGAATGACCCATTTAATTTTTGCCTTTTGCGCTAAATATGGAGTCTAGTAGCCCTCTTAGCAACCACAAAAGAACTCCCCTTCTCTTCTATCAATAACTGAATCCAAAGCAGCTATGGAATGAAGCAGCTCGATTTTAATTCCATCCCGGCTCTCCCTCATGGATTTATTCCAACTTTTGAGATTAGATTTTAAACATTGTAATTTCTTTTTAAACTTCACCATCCCATTCAACACTGTGATTAATTGATTTCCTTAACATTAAGTATTATTCTATTTTTGTAACACGTGTGATTTAAAACATTCGTTTTCTCATCCAACCACTACCATTGAACGAACCATAATAATAAACTAATAAAGCAAAATTTTCAACCTAATGGTATTCTTGCTTACACATGCTAAAAGGGCTGAACTTGTTAAAAAAAGTTAATGATTATAAAAATGTATCAATAGAAAAATAATAATAATAACTAATCTTTCATACCCGATGTGATTTTTGTGATTCAAGAAAAGCGAAAGAGGGGCTTATTAGAACAACAATGATGACCACATCTAAGTTGTATTCATAGGAAAGAACAAGGAAGGAATAACAAAACTTTGTTAATGACAAATTTAACCTCCTGATGTCAATATCAAATAGTGTCAGCCCTTGCTTTAGCAAGATTTAATGATATTTTTTAAGGTTTAGATTAACAACTTAATCTTGATATTACGTTCACTAAAAACAGGTCTTATGAAAGTAAAACCTTTACCTATCAATTCCAGCTGTCAAAAAAAAATTTAAAAGATTAATCAACTTGCAAGTTGAACTCTCTCTCCCTCGCTTTCATTCTTAAATATTTTTTTGGAGATATAATTTAATTTAGAAGTTGCGTGTGATGATACAAATGACGTTTAATGACAATGCTTTTTCATTAAAAACAACAAGAACTAATAAAAATAACACAGAGATTAATTAAAGATGATAAGCTAATGCTATACCCGGCTTTATGGCTTGCACTTATCAGACCAATAACTGGTGACACTTTCATGTAAAATTAAGTGTTTGTTTACTAAGTTCATCAATCTGGAATTCATCATATACAATGCATTAAAGTTCTGTGCAAAAAATAAAAACTTTTGAAGGTATATGAAAGATAGAACTTTTGTTTAATTAGTGCTTGAAAGGAGCGAATGCAACAACAGAATTGTGCCCACCGAATCCAAATGAGTTGGATATGGCTGCAGCAAGATAACAAAACGTTAAAATATGGTAAAGATATTAAAGGGTCTTTGATATGTTTTTTACTGGGTAAGAGTCTGGATATAATTCAAGTCAAATTCATACTCTTTTATATTATACTTAGGGGTGTTTGTGATTACTTTTGAACATCAAAATTCATTTTTGTAGAAAAACTTTTTGTAAAATGACTTTTTATAAAAGAATTTTTTAAAATGTATTTGGTTTAGCAAAAGGACTTTTGCTTTAATTTTTACATGTAAAACAACAAAAAATCAGGTTTTTGTGACTTTTAGAAACTCTCATTTAATCTATGTCAAAAGTTTTTCAAAAGAACTTTTGAATTATTAGAACACCTTTTGGGTTTTGGCTTTTTGTTTTTGTTTTTTTTTTCTTTTTTTTGTTTTTTTTTTTTTACTTTTTAGAAAAATTAAAAGCCAAAAATTATTTTAAAAAAATCTCAAACACCCCTTAGAAGCATTTGACTCGGTCGTGACTTCTTCGATATGCCTCTTCAATGCAATGAAAAAGGTTGATGCTGGCAACCTTAACCAGCCCCATTGAACCCAGCCTCCAAGGGTATTCAATGAGGGGACATATTTTGACTCACTAAGTGGGTGAGAATCATGGGGGTGTTACGGATAGAATCCACAAGTTATCTGCTATCAATGCAAGTCTCCCTATGCCTATGGCCTTACCAACTTAGCTACACACCAGAAACTCGGATATGTCTCTTACTATTTAAGCTATGTGTGATTCAGACAAACCTTAACTCAATCTGAAATTATTCAATCAACAACTATCAAACACTCCTAAATTATTATTATTATTATTATTATTATTATTATTATTATTATTATTTTGTATTTTTCAAATAATAACAAATTAATAAGATCACATACGTACGTACCCACATTGACTTCGTGCTGTTTCTTAACATTTGGGACAGTATCGATATCAACTTGAGGCTCCAAGTTCTACATGGATGATCGAACAAAATTCATAATGATCAAAATGAATTAATCAAAAGACAATTAAAATACTAAAAATAATATTATTTATTCGTAGTACGTACATCTTGATTAATCGTAGGGTGTAGCCAGCCAGTGTTGATTGCTTTTATGCATGCAATGGCTTCCAATCCACCAGCAGCTCCAAGGCCATGTCCGATCATTGACTAAGTCATTATTAATATGCAATAGTCATTTCCTTAATTAATTATGTCATTATATATTGTAGCTATATTAAAACAATAATGCATTTTAATTAAAGGTTTTGTTGTACATACCTTTGTGCCATTCATTTTCATTTCAGATGTAGACTTAAAGATCTTTTTAATGGCATTAACCTCAGCCAAATCGCCAGCTAGGGTTGATGTTGCATGACAATTCACGTAATTCACCTTGAAATTTCATAGTGAAGTTAATTTGGGTACTAAACTTTACTTAGTAACTGAATTTTTGTGTAATTAATTAATTAATTAAGTTGTAGAAATGTTTGTGACCTCTTGAGAAGAAACACCAGCATCTTGTAAACATTTGGTGATGCAAGAAGAAATTCCAAGTCCATCTTTACGAGGATCTGTCATATGATGAGCATCACATGTTATGGCTCCACCCAAATATTCAGCTATAATATTGGCTCCTCTTTTACTTGCATGCTCCAAGCTTTCCATTATCTGTGAAACATATTCCAATTTATTTCAATTTACAATTCATATAATTAATAATTTTTCTTTTCTAGGAATGAATGAATCTGAATATAAAAAAAATGATCTTTTATTACTCTTTTCTGTCTAAAAATGATGCTAAATAATAATTAACCGATAAATTGAAATTGCAAATGATTACGATATTAAAAAAAAACATGTTTACAATATTATTGGGCTTCCACATTAATAATTTTCAGTTTATGATAATAACCAAAAGCATATACAATGGAATATGCCAAAACTCAAAGGATTAATATTTTTAATTACTGAATTTCAATAGCTACAACCAAACATAAATACGTTCTCAATTTTATCATTATTATATGAATCATGAATGACATCAAATGGGTGGTTGGATTTTTTTTTTTTACGGTTACATTATAATTTTATATCATTTGAATATATGCCAAATGTTTTTTTTTTAAGATTATCATTACATTATTTAATGAATAACTATATTTTGTTTTCAGTTCCATCTTATTTCATAATACGTAACCTTAGTCAATAATAGTTTTAAATCTTTATATAACTTGTTTTCATTAACTACCTTTAATAAAAAGTAGCTTATATTTTTAAAAGACATATAAATATACAAGAGTATATGTTTTATGAAGTTGTATAATGTAACATTTTAAAACTTAAACGGTTGCCTGTTATGTGTGGAAAAAAATATATTTATGTAGGAATCATCTCCCAAAAGGAGTTTGATTAAAGGATAACAATATAAATATAAAAGATAAAAGATTAGGTAACAAAGACACATTCCTTTCCTCTCACTCAACCTATTATACAATCTATCTAAATATATTATTTAAAAAATAACCCAAGATTTTGGACTAGGCGTAACATATTTAGGTGCGATTATGGGCCAAACACTATTAGGGCAATTTTGGGCTGGATCAATCTTGGGCTTGGGGTGTTAAACAAATAAACAAGGAAGATGAAGATTGTAGATTTGAAGACACATAGAGATAGAGATAGAGATAGAGTCATGGAGAGGTGAGGAGTTGTTGTATACCAGGACGCCTGCACCTTCACCGATGACAAAACCATCACGATCTTGGTCCCATGGTCGAGAAGCTTTGTGGGGTTTGTCGTTTCGTTGAGACAAAGCCCTGCAGGCTATAAAACCGCCGACACCTGTAGGGTTAACCGCAGCTTCTGTTCCACCGGCGACCATGATATCCGCTTCTCCTCTTCTGATATGGTTCGCTGCCGCATAAAAGCAATAGTTTGCAGTCGCACAAGCTGTTGAAATCGAGTAGTTTGGCCCCATTAACCCTCTATCTATCGCCAATAATGCAGATCCCATGTTTGTAATGGAGTAAGGAATGAAGAACGGAGTGATCTTCTTGAACCCTTTTTGAATCAATGCTTCCACACCATTGCTAAATGTTGTCATACCTCCCATCCCTGATCCCACAACGACTCCTATCCTCGTTCGATCCATCTATTTAAAAAAAAAAAAAAAAAAAAATTATCTGTCAATCTCTTCATTTATATTTTATAAGCAAATTAAGAGGACTCACAGTTTCGAGAATTTGTTGGCCGAGGTTGGCATCATCGAGAGCTTTTCTGCCAGCAACTAGACAATACCTCCAGCAGTCATCAAGACGCCGGTCGTTTTTACCATCGATGTAACCTACCGATGAAAAATTGCGAATTTGTCCGGCGAAACGAACAGTGAATGTTGAAGCATCGAATTTGTCTATTAGGGTTATTCCGCTTTCACCCTCGAGAAGTTTGTCGTAGAATGTGTTAACGTCGTTACCAAAAACAGAAACAACTCCCATTCCTGTAATCACAATCCTCTTCTTTGGGTCTGTTTCTCTTTTAGGAGGTGAAACGGTTTGTGTCGCCATGCCCTTGATTGCTCTAGATTTTGAAGCTGGGAGAATATCAAAGATCATGACAGAAAGTTAACGTTAAAAGCACTATATAGTAAAATAGATTAAACGATCGCTAATTAACCTCTAAAACCATTATGTTGAAGCATAGAAGCTTTATTGTTTTCTGAATCCTTGCTTCTAAAAATCAAACCAGTAGAACAAGCGGCTGCAATGCTTGCCATTTCTCTCTATTCTTCCTTCTTGATCTCTTTCTCTGTCTCTCTCCCTCTCTCAAGGTCGAAAAATCGTAGATAGGATAATGAAAGAGTAGGTTTTCAGTGACCAACTGTTATGGAAACTCTTGCCACCGGTGTTTGATGAAAATCTCCAGAGAAAACAGAGTATGATTGTGAAATATTGATTTATGGTGGTTTCATGGAGATTGAATATTGTCATTCACCATCAAACCAACCAGTGTATGTGTTGAAAGACTCTTGGTAACCATTTTCTCCGGGTAGTTGATAACCCATTTCTGCATGTTCATTAGTTTTGTTCCTCCCTCGTCATGACTCCTAAAATTCCAAAATTGTATATTTTGATATTAGTTCATAATTTTGAACGTTTTTGCGTTTATAGTCCGTTGGACCGGTGGTCGCTAGATTGAAAGAGCCCGGCCCATCCTCAACCGCATTCAATTTTTAGAGTAAATTACAAGAACGGCCCTTAAGCTTTAGTTTAGTCCATATTCTTTTATAATTTTTCAATGTCATTCTTAAATTGGTATTGTGGACATAGTTACTAAGGGGTAGGGGTGAGCGCGGTGCGGTTCGGTCCGGTTATTGACCAAAACCTCACTACTAACCGCAAATGCAGTTAATCCATTTTCAAAACCGTTTGGAGCGGTTATTTTTGCGGTGCGGTTAGGCAGTTATTTTTGCGGTGCGGTTTTTATTTTGTGGTTCGGTTATTAACCACATGGATTTGGTGCAGTTATTTTGTGTGATTTTTAACTGCTATTTGGAGTTCAAACGGTTTTAAGAGTTCAAAAATATTACTTGTATTTTAAAAAAAAAAAAAAATAAGGTATAAGACAATTAACTTAAATCACAAACAACTAATATATCTTAAAAACGTGAAATCATTTTGTAATTAACAATAAATATCTTAAAATTATGAAATTTAATTATTTTTCAATGTTAAACATAACAAAAAACCAACACTTTTATCTTCTAGAATTTTATCTTGCTTTCATCCATGAAATTTGTCTTATTTTTAATATTTAATATATTAATTATTAATAAAAAAAATTGTATATAATATATGCGGTGCGGTGCAGTTTTTTTGCGGGTTTTGAAAACCAATAACCGCACCGCACCGCAAATTTGCGGTTTTTGAAAAACAAAAAACTTCACCATCGGTTTGGATTGCGGTTGCGGTTTATGCGGTTAATTTTAGTTACGGTGCGGTTTTTGCTCACCCATACTAAGGGGGTACACCATAAAACTAAATCATTTAGTATTGAATGATTTCAATCTCTTGGTGGTTAAGACAAAACAGAGTTTATTAACTATTCAGAGACTTTTGATTCATTAAGAAGATGTTCAAGTTCTTTATTAAGCACGTTGAATATTGATTGATTCGTTAGGTTTAATAAACCAAAGAGTAAATTGCGGAAATGGTTCATGTGATTTTCAAAAGATTGCATTCTCGGGCCAAGTTTTTCTTTTGTTTCAGTTCCACGCCTAAGTTTTGATTTTGTTGCAGAAATGGCCATGTAAAGTGACTAAGTTATTATTTATATATTTTTTGAATTGAATATGGAATCCACCCCTCCCCTCTATCCTCCTCGTATCCATCCACAAGTTCATTTGTTTTTCTGATTTTAGTCCATTAATCATAAGGTTTTCCATATTGACACTAGTTTTGATGCTAATAGGCATGTTCTTGCCACCATCGTCACCAGATCCTAATGATGAATCGTGTTTGACTAAGTTGTTAAAATCTATAAAAGAGACAACTCATAATCTCATGAATTAGACCAAACCTAACTTCGAAAACCTATGTTCTAGTTTCATCTCAAACCTCTTTGGATCAACCTAAAACAACTACCGTATCTACAAGTTTTTCTGCCTAACCTCACCCTTTTGTAGGCTAAATCTCAATGTATATCTCTAATTACACTAATCTCCATATTCTAGGTGTCTCAAACAACTCACTTACCATACCAATAGCCATTGAACTCTGATACCTTGTTAACATGTCCTCCAATTTCCTCTATGTCACCATCCCACATTATATCGACATGCGTACCTACCTCAATCTCGTTGGACTACACAACAACACTCTCAGAGTCATATCCATACCTTATATTGGTTTCTTTGATTTGAAATGCATCTTGAAAAAACAGATTTCTTTCAATCGAAATACAAAGAAAATAAAATTGCAAGGTTTTCATCACAACAACACCCCTCAAAGTCATATTCATTATGCAATCAATGCATGTATTAGACCTTTCGACTAACTACTAAGGTATTATTTTTTTAAATCCAAAATCTATATTATGCAAAATTCTAATAAATTAAACAATAAAGTTCATCCTTTAATTTTGTTTCTTCTTACTTCATTTTTTATGTATATAAGATTATTTATTTTCAAATCTAAAGGTTGATTGATAAATCAATTCGTTGAAGTACTCAATTTATAATGGTGTACTTGGTGCGCAACTAATAAATTAGTTTCCCCATTAAGCAGTGGTTCAAGGGACTACTAGAAAACAACCCTTTAATGTCACGCAAACAATGACACACACTGATTTAGTCAGTTTTCCAAAATCTGAAGGATAGAGGACACGTATTTGTGTGTGCCCTAAAATTAATGTTCAACGAAAAAAAAAGTACAAACACGGAAGGCACTTAAATTAAATGGGAGTCATGTAGAAATGTCGTTTTATAAAATTTTAATACGCGCATCACCTCTTTGATACAACTAAGGGGGAAAACCAAATCCCCCAAAAATTCATGTACTCTACCTTCCCCAAAAATCGGACCTCACATTATATTTCATGGAGTCGGCGATTGGGGGTCTACGACTCCTCACACTCAAAACGTCGGTGATTTTATGGTTTTTTGTCCCTGATATCAAAGAAGAACTAGGGCTTTTATGCTCTGGACCTCACAAGTGCGCACCTAAGAACTAGGGATTTTATATCGGTGTGTTCAGGCAGAACAACGATATCCGATCTTCCTCCTCGAAAGGTCATTTATGGGCTTTCGAAACTATAGGGCTCAAATTGGAGGTTGAAGATCAGAAATTGAAGGTTGAAGGTCAGATTTAGGATTAGAATTCAGAGGTTCATGGTCAGATTGGAGGCATCGGAAATCAGGAAACGAAAATGGATGAGGCACCAGGTTCGAATATCATTCTCTTCTTCTCCATGTACGTGCCCTAGGTTTCTTTCTTTTACTTTATCATTTTCTTATTTTAATTTGGGGCTCTCTACATTCTCATAAATCATGAGATAGTGTGAGATCTATGAGAGATCCAATCGAGCACTTAGTAAATAATTAAAAGGGATAGAAATACAGTCAGCAAGAGTTCAAAACCAAAGCATCGTTGTCACACCCCCAAACCGGAACGGCGAAAACGTTTGGGGGCGGAGGACGTCATGTTTAGTATCACAGCACATGCATCATAGTAGTCAAAGTAACAAACAACCATTGCATTAATATTTAAGTGTTTACAAAGTATGTGATGCACATAAGATTGACTCCAAAAGTAAATAACAAAACAAGACATGAAGCTACTATGCTCCATCTTCTGAATCCCAGCACGCGTATCTGTCTACTAGTTTCCTGAGAATACAAGTTGTTTTGAAAGAGTAGATCAGCATTTAAGTTGGTGAGTTCATAAGTATTTTAGTGATGAAAGTAAATTGTAAGTTCTTTTAGAAAAGTTCGCCTGTTCCTCCAGAAAATCCTACATTTTCTAATATGATGAATGAAAGTAAAATGACTCTACAATTCCTTCTATGAGTACTAAATGGATACAAGTTATATAGAATCCAGATCAAACAGACAATCGATTGTGTGAATCTGCCCTAAGCCCACAACCAAACAAGGAACAGGAAATGAGGCGGAAGTCACACATCCCATTGTTTGTTAGATCTTCATTGTATATAACCCTGGCGTATTCATTGGGTACTTACGGAGTTAACTGTAATAGTTCTTTATATTTGATGAAAACATTCTTTAAGAAAATCATATATTTCCTTTAGTAAAAATGGTAACCACAATAGTTCCTTCTATAATCACTTAGTTTATACTAGCTATATATAATCTAATATCGAACGGATAGTTAATTGTGTGAATCTGCCCTAAGCCCACAACCAAACAAGGAACAGGAAGTAAAGCGGAAAGCACACGTCCAACTACCTATCGGATATTAATTATATATAACCATGATGTATAAACTAATGTATTATAGAATTAACCACTAAAGGTCCTTTAAGTTATACTGGTTTAATAAAATGAATTAAACCTTTTACTGATAAGTTTCTAGTTTAACCTACCAAATGTTCTATCTGAAAAAGTAAGTTTTTGTACTAGAAAACAGTATATTGAATTTGTATACTATGACCTGACCCATACCTGGTACTCCTTATGATTAGTTGGTGTATACGGAATATATATATATATATATATATATATATATATATATATATATATATATATAATATATATATATAGCTAAGATCGAATAGATAGTAGGCTGGGTGAATCTGCTCTAAGCCCACAACCAAACAAGGAACAGGAAATGAAGCGGAAAGCACACATCCTACTGTCTGCCGGACCAGATTAATATATATCCCTGATGTATCTACCGAGGAATCATAAAGTTAGCATTATGCGCCCCCTTCTAACTGAATGTACTAAGACTCGACTGTTCTGTTTGTCCTTTGTAATGATGTAAGTTTTCCCAAGTTAAGACTATCTTTTCTATAAAATACTTTTCATTACCTTTTATGTGAGAAGATCACTATATGAATGTAATGGGAAAATGAAAGTATTCAGTAATACTGTATAAAGTAATTACTGAAGCACTAACTACCTTAAAACCAGTTTGTTAATTAAGGTTAAAATGTGATGAGATTATAACGATACTTGATTGACTAGTAAAACACGACGATCAAAGACGGCGAAATGGTATGACATTCGTCACCCGTAGACCTGCAGGTCCCACTATA